AAAACCCTGCTGACATCCTCTCCAGAGATATGATGCCCTCTAACATACTTAACTCCACTCTGTGGTTTCAGGGTCCTCAGTTTTGTAAAATTTTGTTCTCAGTTTTGTCTTAATACTCTGCATCTTTTTTACTGACTCCTAACATTGTAAAGCTAATGATATAATGATATACTTTGACCAAATCTAACAATGTCCACCAAGCTGTATGTTTTATCCGTTTACATCCATTTACTTGCTATTTTATTATTGCACATTTTTCTACTACATTTACCTCTGACATTGCTATCTTGTAGCTTAAACACTGATAGTGTACACCTTTTATTTTATATATTATGCGAGCAACGATTTGTACAGCGTGCTTTTCTAGCGAGATATAAGTTCGCTAAGTTAAAACCAGAACAAAGAATACATCACCGAAGAATATGGATACAAGAGCCCACAAGGTTCAAATCTGAGGACTGAAGAAAGACTGATATTTTCATAGCTATGACCCCCCGCGACGACAGAGTGCGCAGCTTTTCTTGATACAAGGAAGAATTGTTTTTAATATGAAATCAATAGAAATTTTCTTTTTCTCATCTTCTTCATCAAAAGTTCTAGAATTTTAAAATTTTGTAAATCGATTCCTATTGGTGTTATGTTTGATATTTCTGTCGGGTCCTTCGAACTCTGATGTATAGATGCAATATTTTTAGCAAAAACTTACCATAAAGCAAAAACTTTTTCTTCTGCTGCTTCTTCTTTTTATATAGACATGATTCTATCGGTTTTTTAATGTGCCTCCAGTAAGTTTTCATTCCATCGTTTCCGTGGTCTTCCTACTGATTGTCTTCCTATTGGTGAACCGTCTCTTGCCATCTTTACTACTCTATTTGTTGTCATTCGGTTTATATGATCGTTCCATTCTACTCTTTTTACTTCTTTTTGTTACACAGTTTTTGATGTTCTCTACCTTGCATCTACGTCGCATATCAGCACTTTTAGCTCTGTCCCATAATGTTTATCTCTGCTTTTTTTATCATCCTTTTTGTCCTCTCTGTTTCTTGTTTTTGTCGCGTATGTCATTATTGGTCTTATGACTGTTTTGTAAATTCTGCCTTTTTTTCCCGATATTTATATTTCTTTATATTGTTTCATTTAGGCAGCCTGCGGCTCTGTTTGCTCTATTCACTTGATCTTCCACTTTGGTTCCGAACTTTCCGTAACTAGATAATGTGATGCCTAGATATTTAAACTCCATTACATGTTCTATTATCTGACCTTCCAGCTCCACTTTACATCTTAGTAAATTTGTTGTTTTAACCATGCATTTTGTCTTTTTTGACAAAATTTTCATGTTAAATTTTCTGGTGGTTATACTAAATAGGTGTAGCATACGTTGTTAATCGTCTTCACTTTGAGAGAGTAGTATTGCATCGTCTACATAGCAGATTATTTTAAGTTGATTTTCTCCTATTTGGTATCCTTTTTTGATTCTTATTTTTTTTATTATTTCATCCATAATCAGGTTGAACAAAAGAGTATTCAAGGATTCTTCCTATCTTATACCATTGCCAGCTTCAATAGGGTCAGTTAGTTCTTTTTCTACTTTTACATTTATTGTGTTGTTTTGGTAGATATTTTTTGTTCATATTGATTATTCCTAGAGGTATCTCTCTTGCATACAATAAGTGAATAACGTATTTTAATTTGACCCGGTCAAATGCGGCGATCCACGAAACATAGATACGCCGGTATGTTGTATTCTAATGATTTCTCTTGCACTTGCCTCATTATAAATATAGCGTCCGTGCATGATCTTTCTGACCTAAAACCCTTTCCCGTTGTTCGTCTGCTAGTGTTATGATTTTCTTCAATTTATTTGTTATCACTTTGGTTGATAATTGTAGTGTTGTGTTAAATTAATTTCTCTATAATTTTCCGGGTCCGATTTGTCTCCCTTTTTGAAAAGAGGTATTCGGATGTTTGATCTCCATTCTTAAGGAATTCTGTTTTGTTCTATTATTTTTTTGATTAGTTTTAATAGTTGTTTGGTCAGATCTGGTCCTCCGTACTTTAGGAGTTCGTTAGGTATTCTGTCCTCTCCTGGTAATTTTCTATTTTTTGATTTCCTTAATGCTTCCTTTATCTTTTCCTTCTCAATATTTATTTCTTTGTTTGTCGTCACCTCTGGTGTTGGTGGTTCCTCATTTTCACCTTTAGCAAATAGGGATCGAAAGTAGTCTACCCATGTTTCCTTTTAAATGTGTTTCGTTTTTATATGTTCATCTTTTTTCTTTGTCCTCCAATTATTCTCCATATTTCTTTTTGTGTTCCGTAAAAGTCTTGTTCCATCTGTTTTGAGAAATTCTGCCAGTGTTTCTTTTTTATTTGTCTAACTAAAGTATTGGTTTCATTTGTGATTCGTTTATAGTGGTTGTATGCATGTTGTGTTTGTTGTGTTCTGTATTGTAAAAAGGCTTACTTTTTTTTCATATTTTGTCGTTATTTCCTCCCTAAACCATGGCATTTTTTGTGTTATGCTAGTGTTTGTTACTTTCCTCTCTTCAAGTGATTCTGTTGCTGCGTTAATATATTATTTTTGAGTTTTTCCCAGCGATCTTCTCTAATATTTTTTCCTGTAGAAGTATTCCGTCGCTTCCGTTTTAGTCCTTTGACTTAGATTTTTGTTTGTGTTGGTGCCGCTCTTTTGGGTAGGAAGTATTTCAGGATTATTTCTATTTTACATAATACTAGGCTATGTACAACATGAACCACTAAGACAAGTTCTAATAAAGAAAAATATAGACAGCCGAGATATTCGAATTATATGCAATCTATATTGGAATCGAACAGCAAATGTCAAGGTTGAGGGCAGACTAACAGAAGAAATTCAAATCCGTCGAGGAGTCCGGCAGGGATGTATCTTATCGCCACTTTTATTTAATCTGTATAGGGAAGCTATCTGTGAACAAGCACTTGAGGAAGAAGATCTTGGTCTGATAATAAATGGTGAGACGATCAACAATATAAGGTATGCTGACGATACAGTTCTCCTAACGGGAACGCTAGTAGAACTACAACATCTCGTTCAAAGTCTCAATATATACTGTAACAGTTACGGCTTGAAAATTAATATGAAAAAAACTAAATTTATGGTAATCACGAAATCAAAGAACATCAGAGCTAATCTTGTAATAGACAATACAACGATTGAGCGTGTGCCCTGTTATAAATATCTAGGTGCTTGGATCACAGAAGATACTTATCAAACAAAAGAGATTAGATGTAGAAAAGAAATCGCTAGATCAGTCTTTAATAGAATGCGCAAACTCTTTTGCAATCGTAATATCAATATAAAGTTACGAATACGAATGCTGCGGTGTTATGTCTTTTCTACCCCGTTATATGGAGTTGAGGCTTGGACACTAAAACAGTTGACCATAAAAAACATCGAAGCTTTCGAGATGTGGTGCTATAGGCGCATTCTCAGAATATCATGGATGGACCGCGTCACTAACATGCAAGTACTCCAAACTTTAGACAAAAGATGCGAAATTCTAAATGAGATAAAAACTAGAAAGATGGAATACTTAGGTTTAGGTGTAGTTCGATTGAACTTTTTAGGCGCGCTGCTAACAAAGTCGCAGTGGCCATGATGATTTCCAATCTCCGCTAGGAGTGGCACGAGAAGAAGAAGAAGAAGGCTATGATCGCTACCTACATCTGCTGAGTTGGGGCATTTTATGTCTACTATTTTTGATGGATGTATATCTCTGTTGATAATAACATAATCTATTATAGATCTTTGTCCACGGATGTTATTAAATGTATATTTGTATTGGTTTTTGTGGTCAAGAAATGTGTTGTTTATTCTTAGTTCGTTATTTGTGCATAAATTGATCATCAGTTCTCCATTTTCGTTTTTAACATTCTAGTTATGTTTTTGTTTAATGCAAGGTATTACTTGGTTGCCTATTCGAGGGTCAAAATCCCATAATATTATGATCTTTCCTCTGACTTGATCTACTACTTGTTGTGATGGTTGTAAAACGCTTCCCTCGTTTTTTGAGGCTGTTATTTTCTGGGCCGTATACCCCAATAATGTTCAGGTCTTCCTTCTCCATTCTTATCTTTGCTGTTACTATTCTTTCCGATATGTATTGACACGTTTTTATGTGATTTTGGTACCTTTGGTGTATTAGTAATACTACACCTTCTTTAGCCCTGTTTTCTTTTGTTACTCCACTGTAGATTAGTATGTATTCATCTAATTTTAGTTGACCTTTTTCTTTCTTTTTTGTTTCCTGTAGAGCACAAATGTCTATTTCTTTCTCTTTCAGCACTTGGGTTATGTCTTGGTCCCTTGAGTTGAGTGATCTGATATTTCAAGCAATAATTCTCATCTGGGGTTTGAATGTTTTTCGATTGTCCTTATTTGTTGCCGTAGTCGTTATCATAGTATTAATTCGGTTCCAAAGGTGTACATCGTTTTATTATCAGTATTTGTTTTTTACGATTGGTAGCTTGCTAACCTTGCCAAGCAAAAACTTGTTGAGAAAAATGGTATGAAATTTATTAAAATATTTTAAAAATATTCAAATTCAGAACGTTTTTAGTACTATCGGACCATCCTTAATGAAAAATGTCTATATATTATTTAAAACGTTAAACGTTATGTGGCTATAATGAGGTCAGATGACCCTCAAATTTCATATTTAAAATAATAAATCTTATAATTATTATGACGCCATGTCAATGATAAAGGATTACATTTTTGAGGGAACATGCAAATTCCCAGCTCGAAAAATGGACATAGTTCAACGAGTGGTAACAACCAACCGTTAATAATTATTGTTACCAAAAATACCAAAAATTTTTAATAATTTTATACCATTTTACTTAAGAAGTTTCTATTTCATTGTAAGTTTTTTAAAACTATGGTAGATATACTGCCAGCCACTGAAATTTTCCCTTTAAAAATTATATAATTTTTAACTTAGGTAAATAAAACAATAATAGTTCCCTATATTTTATTTAAAAATATCGTTAAGTTATTTTCAGTAAGAAAAAACTTCATAAGAAATAGATCCCATTTCATCATATCACACAAGAAAGGTAATTATTTATGTGCACGTACCACACAAAGTCTTTTTAAATACTTTGGTCAAAATATATTTTTTTATTGTCTCATTTAACTTATGTAAATGCTTACGACTAGATATGTGAAATGTTTTTATATTATTGATTAATCTCAATAAATAAATTTTATATTTTCGTTTCATTAAAAAATAGGCAGAATAGGTTGGATGGGTTTAATATTAAACATCAACAAAACGAAATATATGAAAATAAGCACGCAACCGCAAATCCCATGACCACTTGTTATAGAAAACGACGTCATCGAAGCAGTAAACGAATTTGTATACCCTGTACCGCCTTTTAACACTGAAAATAATACTACCGTAGAGATAAACCGCAGAATTTGCAGGGCAACCTGATGCTATAAACTGATGTTGTAAAATGATGGCAAACTGTTGTTGTAAAGCTAGAATGATGATGATGAAAGGTTAATTCGTTAGATAAAATATTATATTTTTCTTCTTAGAGTGCCGTCTCCCTACGGAAGTTGGCAATCATAACAGCTATTTTTATTTTAGAACTTGCTGCTCTAAACAAATCAATCGATCTGTATGTATACCAATCACGTAGATTCTTTAACCATGAGTTCTGACTTTGGCCAACTGATCTTCTTCCTTGAATCTTTCCCTGTATTGTCTCAAAATTTCATATTTTGGACCTCTCATCACGTGGCCTAGGTATTCCAGTTTTCTGGTTTCTATAATGATGATTAGTTCTGTTTCTTTACCAACCCTCCCCAGTACTTCTTTATTTGTGATTCTATCAGTACATGATATTTTTATTACTCTGCGGTATAACCAGGGTTCAAAAACCTCGATTCTTTTTAAATTGCATTTTTTTAATGTCCAAGTCTCAGCTTCATATAATAGTATTGAAAATATATAACAGCGAATGGTACGTAGTTTGATCTCCAAATTTAGATTTTTAGATTCGATTAGTTTAGGTCAAAACCTTATTCTCCCCAGCCCTAATCCCTTAAAGGGATGTGGTGGCACCATCATCTTTTTATAATTTCTTTTGCCATCCATTCCCTCCTTGTCCCTCGTCGGCTTTATATAACCCTCAGTTAATCAATATTTTTGTTTAATGGTTTTGAGGTGTGTGTAAATGTGTCCAAAATACTCCCAATTTATTCCCAAAATTGGGAATAAAATTACCATGGTAAGTCGATTAATCAACAAATCCTTTAATCAATATTGTTTATATTTCTCTGATTTGCCTAGAAAGATCTACAAAAAGTAGAAGAAGAAGCCTACTTTTCTAACCATATATTTTCAGTTGTTTTATATTGGTTATTTTTATTGTTAATATCTATCACATGTAATTTTCTAATCTAAAAACGAAGGTCCTTTATATATTAGTCGATAATTTCGTCAGTGAAACCTAAAGTAAATAAGTATTGATTCCGTAGTTAGGTATACAGGGATGCCCATTGTTTCACAATTTTTTTTTATGATTTTAGAGTTTTTTCTGGTAATATTTTAAACAAACAGCGGATGTCGGACAATATTGGGATAGTCATTTTGTCATCTTAGATTAGCTCTATACTTTGTTCCTGATTTTAATAGCTACTTGGTTATTATTGTAGAGTGCTTTCAGTCTCTCAAATCTGTATACAGTCTATAACAGAATTAATATAAGTTGAGAATACAGCGTAGAACTATTGTCTGACAGCAGGAAATATGTTTCCTAAAACAGAGAGGTTGTTCCTAGTTGCCATTCAGGATCAGTTTATTAAAACCAAAAATTGCTCCAAATATATTGTCAAAGACTCTCAACTCAAAAATGACAATAATTGCTGATATGGATCTCAAGCCAAAGAAATACGCAACATTTTACCGGGAGCTACCAAGAATTTATCAGAACTGATTATAAAAAACGTCTTACTTAGCATGAAATATTATTCTTCAAAAACTAGTGAACAAACTAAGAACTCTCCAAACCAATCATCTACCTTAGAGCCAATATGCCCATTACAGATTGCTTGAAAACGACAACTACAAGCTATACTGGGATTTACTATGCTCATAAATCAACCAGTAGTACATAATAGACGGGGTCTTATTCTAGTTAATAAAATAGACAAATAAGACTAATTGATATAACGATACGAAACAACAAGAATCTGCGTGTTAAAGACAACTTAAAGATCGCCAAGTACATAGAGCTTGAGATAAAATAAGAAGAAAATAGAGAATGAAAAAAATCCAGACGATAACTATTATTTTCTCCAACATTGGGGTCTTTTCGAAGAACCTTATAGAAAACATTAACAGGTGGATCTTAGTGAACTTCCTTCTAAGACATTAACAATTGGATCTTAGTGAACCTCCTTATGAAGCTATTTTACTTTCGACATCTAGATGCGTACATAACTTAAGGCAAATACCCCAACATACCATATTACCTAGGATCTGATCGCACGGAAAGATTCTTACGAGAGCTCAATCAAGAGTAAACTTTCTCCTTAGTGGGAGTGTAAGCTATATGGCTAAATCTGGATATTAATTATGAACCAAAGTTTTATCCATAAAGATTCGTTGAATCCACTTTGTTTCTGTCTAGCGATGAAAATTCTATCTTACTTACTGACTGGCCTCTACTGACACAGATTTTAGAATTAAAGGTACCAATACTGTAGTATATAAAATATATAAAAATATCCTAAAATATAATGTCAGACCTATAGGTCTAAAACGACAGATGGTGATATCGATATTAAGTCTAAGAAAGCTATCTTAAATAGATAGATTCAATGAGGTGGCTTTTGACCTATTTCTCTAGCCTATACCTATTTGAGCTTTTTAAATCTACTATGGTTCTCTAGCTCTAGATTATATTTTCCAGCCTGACCCTTTTAAATAAGTCTAACAACGTGCATACAGAACCTTCCATGTAGCTCTTTGCCGGTGGCTTTTCTTCGCTTAATGCAAAGAAACATTTGCTAGGCTTTTACATTGACATAAAATGTGCTCTCCTGTTTTTTCTGCTAGGTGACAAAATCTACATAGGTCCTCATTTACCAATACCACCAGTTTTAACTACCTAGTTATGGCTTTGACTGTTTTTCTATCTTTGCTTATTAGTTCTGCGGTCAGTTTTGCCTGTCTTTGTCCAAATAAATTAGTCTACAATTTTAGAGATTTGTAAGCTACCCATTTTCTTATAGAAGTTATTGTTACTGCCTTTGCAATATCGCACAATGGTTCCGGTTTAACGAATGGCATTGATGAGCCTTGTTTGACCATTTCACCTATTTTTTCATGCTACGATCCTTGCAACGATTTCCCAGTTTATTTAGGACAGTAACACAATCCCATACTACCCTAGAATTGGTATCCACCACGTAGTGATGGATTGCCGTTATTTTTGTCTGGAAATTGTGAGATCCTTAAATAAACTTACCGGGAAATGTATCGCTAGCTTTGTCCCTACTAGGTCGGCCCCTACACCCTCCGATGTTATTGAGCCATCAGTATACCAGAGTGTTTCCGCTTATATGGGTGCACTGTTATTTCAGTTTTCTCTGCCTGGTATATTAATTTTGACTTTATTGTCAAAGCTATATCTTATAGCTATTGCCCCATTACCATATCTGCAACTCCTCGATAAGTTTTAATCGTCAGCACTATTCGCCTGGCTTATGTGTTACTCCTATGTGTTAATCTGTAGATTACTAATCCAGTTTAGCCATGTTTAAAAATATTTTATGAAGTGCTAATAGATTCAGCTGGGCTTCTAACGCCGCTGTATAAGTTTTTTATGGTCCCCGTAATACACAGACATGCTAGCCTTTAAGTATTACATACTTTATTGCTCCCACTTTCTGCGCATTTGTCCAGTACGTCACAAATTCGTAGATAATCATTGGTCTAATAATCCGTGTGTATAATCATAGGGTCATTTTGGGGTTGAAGGATATAGTAGATTTCTGTGTGGTAGTCAGTATGTGAGTACTCCATGTAAGCCCACCTACCCTAGGTATTTTATTTATTTTCAAATAAAATCTATGTTCATCACAGTATCGGGGATTTTAGGCCTTATGATGCTGTTCTTTTAAAAAACTATCTTACTATTGGACGTTTATCTGACTATAAAGAATAAAATGACGCAGTACGAAAGATTTTTGACAAATAATTAGTATACAAACTAGGACGACTTTTCTAAATCAACCATCTCTCTTATTATAAATCCATCCCTGACAGAATACTTAAAGATGACAACTACAGGTAATACTGGGACTGCATTGTGCTGAAACACCAACCAGTGGCACACAATAGACCAATAGACCGGATCTCTTACTAGTTAATAAGTTAACTAGACAAAAAATGATAATGTATTTGACGATACCTAACAACAATCATCTGAGTGTTTAATATAACCAGAAGCCGCCACATAAAGAGATCTTAAGACACAAATAAGATGAAAAAACACCCAGGGGATACCTATTATTCCTCACAGTACTAGAGCTTTTCGAAAAACTTCCAAAAACACATGTCTAAAGGACCGTGCAAAAAGCGGTACTGTCCTCAATATCCAGATGGGTCAAATATTTTTAAAAATACTTCAGCGTATCAGGTCCTAATAACCAGGGCCTAGGGCCCAATAACACAAAATAAAACCCACCAGAGCTCAATCGTTGTGATACCATGAGCATCTAAGATGAACTTTCCGCTTAGAATAAATGAAATAATTAATTATGATAATTTGGTCATATATTCAATTATGTGATGTAGCCCTAAAGGGTCTTTTTAGAATATGTATACCTTTTATAAAGAAATTTAAAAAAAATTGTGAATCATGGTATTGTCGCCAAGTTCTCGGTCAGAGTGACCAATGAGCACTCTTGTATATTATGTATACATATTAGTTGATTTTCAAGCCAAAGAGAGTCAACTTCGGTCTCTACTAAAGCCCTAAACTCTAGGGAACCGATCAGCGGGGCTCTGTTCCACCTACCTGCCTTAGACTGTGGCTTAGCTTTTGTATCCTACAATTGGCGTTTTATTTCATCATTCTTCGATACAGCATCCCGACCTGAAGAAACATACGTGTGCCTAGAATATTCCGTACACTAATATACGAATACAATAAAGCAGAGCGTACGGGGTGGGATGTGGGAAATGACTTTATGGTCAAGTTACCCCTCTCCCCCGAGAAGACAGTATACAGCCAGAGAACTGTAAAAGCCTATTATACTATTATAGTTCTCTGATACAGCCAACTACAGGAATTTAATTTTCCTTGTGCATCTTCAATATATGATTAGTTTCTTACTCTGCCTGTTTTTTTTTAAACAATAAAAAAATGTGTTTTTAATATTAAAACTTAAAAATAGAGAAAACTTAAGTAAAATAATTAAAAACTAGACATCTTCTTCATTCATGTCAAGAAATTCATATATTTCATTGCGTAATTTTATATTCCTGGTCACATCTGTATTGCTTAATACTTCATTAGTCATCGGACTTGTGTACTTTCCTGACATAAACCATTCGGTTATAGCGTTTTTTTCGTATGTAAAACCATCGCTACACATGACTGGCTCACTCATTATTTCGTGGGTGATCGGACACAAAAACTCATCTGGAATATCGAGAGTGTTAGCTGCTTCCAATTTTATTTCTCGGTTTTTTAACCAACGAATTTCTTTCTGGAATTTTTCTTGCTCACTTTCATCTAAAATTAATATATTACAGTTTAGTTATAAGGTTACATAATTGAAGAAAAGCTGTTGAAGAGGGAAAACTTAAGGTAAATAGGTCAAAAATGGATAATAAGTGTTTAAAAAGAACATGAATGATTGGGGATTAAACCGGGTTCCAAAATTATTAACATTCTCCAAAAACTTAAGCTTGTTCGTATTATTTTTAAAAGTACAGTGGAATTTTCGTCTCTGATGACTAGAGTTTAAATAAATAAACTTATTTATAACAAAACTAAGGCATCAGTAGGATTTCTTCTTCTTAGGGTGCCTGTCGGTTCCGAACGTTGGCGATCATTCTGGCTATGATGGTTTTATTGGTTGTTATACGAAATAGCTGTGTTGAGGTCTTTCTATACCATGCTCTCAGGTTAGCAAGACAGAATATTCTTCTTCGTCCTGGGGCTCTTTTTCCTTAAATTTTACCCTGCAAAATGCATTGGAGTAGCTCGTATCTGCCTCGATTTCTCATTTTATGTCCCAAGTACTCCAGCTTACGGCTCTTCACAATGTTGACCAAATCCACGGTTGTGTTCATCCTCCGCAGTACTTCTTCATTGGTGACTTTCTCTGTCCATGGTATCTTCAGGATTCTTCTGTTTAACCATAATTCATAATTCATTAGGATTTGGTATTATATAATTTTTATATCATATAATATAATATAATTTTTTAGCTAAAGACCTAGAAGTAACAATCTTTTAGAATGGAGAACAATCTAATTAATTCCAAAAATGAGGTAAACTGTTTTCATATAAATAACAATCTGCCTTAGAGCAATCTTAATATTTACTTTGATACCATCTAAATACTAACATGAAAGAGAATAGGCAAAGGTAATTATAAGCTTGTTAAGACAAGGTCCTTATCTTAGCAAACAAATCTGCAAGTGCTATATTCTGTAAAGAACACCGTTTGGTAAGCCTAATGCGCCACCTTTTTTGGAGTAAGTAATATTATTTAAAAAATGTAGATAAAGAAGTCAGTGGCTTAAGAGTTTACTATATATATATATATATATATATATATATATATATATATATATATATATATATATCTGGGTCAAAATATAAAACTTAACAAAGAAAGCAAACATGGACAAAATCATAAAAACTCAAAGAGCAATGTAAAGACAAATGTTGCACATAAGACTAATAGATACAAAGAGAAACGAGTGGATAAGAGAGAAAAGAAAAGTGAGGGATATTGGACAAGAAGTTGCAACATTAAAATGTAGATTTGCGGGACACAATATAAGACAAAAAGAAGGCCGATGGAACAAAATTCTTGGAGACCGTGGGAATGTAAACAAAGCAGAGAAAGGGCCCAAATGAGATGGGCAGATACTATCAAGAAGCACGTGGGCTTTAGGTGGATGACTGTAGCGACAGACAGAGAAGAATGGAAAAGGATTGGGGAGGCCTATGTCCAAAGTTGGACCGAAGACGGCTAATTAGATAGATAGATAGAAACTAATTTATATCGCCGCGATTGCCTTCAGAACACTGCACAAATTTTTTTGATCCCCAGCAGTTCGCGACGAATATGTGCTAATTCACATATTTGTTTCAGATGAGTCGAATCGCAATCGCCATCGTAAAGGCTATCGTGAAGGCCATCGTGAAGACTATCGCATCGTGATCACTTAGGTGTTTTCCGCTTTAGAATGAATATCTCGTCTGATAAGACAATGAATCCAGTTCATGTTCGGCCTATGCCGAAATACAAAGAATACGAAGAAAAAGAAAAATAGAAATCACAAAGATAATAAATTACCTAAGTCCAGTAAAGCACAAATCTGATCCACAGTTAAGGTGATCAGTTTTTTACCATCCAAACAACAATTTGTAGCTACAGGAATTAATCCATGCATTTCGATATTCTTTAACCATTTAATGATATCAGCCGTTGTCCAGTCGATTATTGGTTTGGCTCTGGATTGGATTTTATCGGCAACAGCTGATTGAAACATCTAAAACACAGTTACATAAAACACAGTTAATTTTTTACGATGTTAAAAAAAGCTTATATTCTTATAAGCTCTCTACAATTATAAATAATGCGTTTATCAATGAGATACAATAGAGTAAAAAATTATTTACTTCATGTTTTCCAGCATTAATTAGTGTTTCTTAATAAATATTTCTATGTCTGATAATATTTTCATTATATAGGTATATGCCGCCTGATTTTGAAAATGCAACACTTAGTAAATATAAATATGTTTTAATTGTAATATAAATGTGTACATACAATTTAAAAATTGATTACAATTTTTTATATCTAAAGTAGTACATAATCTTAAAATTTAGTAGTGAGTTAAAGCCAATTTAAGGTGATAACGTACTGTGCTCTTTAAATCAGATAGGCAATATCTTCCTGCTGTATACAGGTCCTAGCATATACATTTACATTTTGAATATCATTCTGGGTGTGCTGCAAACCCATTGGCGGAGCAGGAAATATATCCAACCTTGTGCATATTATATTCCATATATATTTAATTATTGGAGAACAGTTTTCCATTTATTGTAGATAGAGCACTTTAAACTAATTCCAGGACGTCAATAATGTCAACTTGTGCATTCATGTTTCTTTCCAGAAAGACTATAGGTGACCTATTTCATATGGTTTCGTCTTTCTACTCATCTTCGATGAACCCGTCTTTAACGACACGGTTCTATTCCTGATCTCACTCTTTTGAATCCGTGTCTGGCGCCACTAAACTCTTATTTCTTTATGTCTTTCGGTTAATGGTAATATGAGGCACGATCGTTAGGATTACAGAACAAAAACTTATTCTTTAGTAAATTTATCTTAGACTGAATTATTGTGCTGTATTAGCCAACCACTGATTGCCGATATATCTAGTCTAGTGCATCCGTAACGATCTCTAAGAGTATTTGGTCTTAGTAGGTGTTCTTTACGGTTACTAGTTCTGTGAACTGAACAGGCACCTTTACGACATTGGTGTTTGTGTTTACACTGCATATTGCAATAGGTTTACAGTTGATGTATTTGTACCAACCTCGTTAGCGATTTCTCGAAGAGCCCTTAAAGCCTGTCGCATCCCTAGTATTTAATGCCTTCCGCATTTCTTTCAAAATCACTTAACTGGTAAAAATTATTGCATCAATATACATGAGATATGTCAAATTAATGTTATAAAGGCTGTATCAATATCTGTAGAGGTCGGTGCAAAAAGTATCTAAGCCCATATTTTTCTATAACTGAATTAAGTGGCGACAGCTATATAAAATTATGTCTACAATAAGTTGACGAAGTCATATTCATAACAAAAAGCGTGCAACTGGGTAAAATTCCGTACGTTAAAATTTTAATCAACAATAAGTTCAGTGCAAGAAGTCACAAACTTCATGAACTTAACAACTTCCTAACAACACGCTTTGTTTATAAGCCTAAAAATGTTTAAAACTTTAAAAATTTTCTAGGCTCTCCTAGTGAACCGATTTTAAATTTTACAAAAAGCGTTTGAAAGTTTGAGTCTTCCTTTATAAGTAAAAAATTTGCAACTATCTGAGGGCCTTATTTAGGGCCTACTATAAATTTGAAAATTTACGATTTTTTTCAGTAGGCTGGATTGCAAAATTATTATGCAAAGCCTATCCGACCGATCTTAACAAAATTTAGCACACGTTTTAAACATATTAAAAAGTTTTTCTAGGTGGAATATGGAGCTTGTAAGTCAAGTTAAGAAAGTCGAAAACATTTAAAGGATTTTCATTTTTTGTACTTTTTTTCCAATTATTGCTATTTTTCCAACAATAAACATTACATTTTTAATTTCTAGCTAACAAAATATTATGTAAAATTGAATAACAAAACTTTTAACTTTTTATAATTTCTTCTCTAGGATCAATATTTTCCGAATTATAAACGAAAATAGGAGCAAAAGAATGACAAATTTTCAATTGTTTTCAGATTTTGTTAAATAATTTCCCAGAGATCACCTGGCCAATAACTTCATTATCTGACGCCGAAAACGCTCATAATTTATTTAAAAGCTTTGTAGTAAATTCAAACCTGATTCAACTCATTACAGAACCTACTAGATTTAGGAATAATAACCAACCTTCTACTTTAGACCTAGTGCTTATTAATGTCGAACAGCTGATTTCATCTCTCGAAGTCAGTTCTCCCATAGGAAAGTCAGATCATGCAGTTATAACGGCTCACATCCAGTTTAATCAAATATTACCCCGCAAAAATAACATTGTAACATATGCTACTACCGACTTTTCTGAAGTTGACACTGAACTCTCTCAAATCGACTGGCATTTATTTTTTGCAGACTTAAACGACCCCTCATTAATGTGGACTGCATTTCTCGATAAAGTCCACAATATAATTTCTACAAATACTATTTTCCGTAAGAGTTATAAAAACAACCTCAAACCCTGGATAAATCGAACAGCAATTAAACAAATCAATCACAAACGACATCTATGGCGAAAATTTATACACACCGGGCTTCTTAGTGATTTCCAAAGCCACCGCAGATTTTCAAATAACTTAAAAACATCTCTAAAAACCTTAAGTCAAAATTTTGAAGCAAACGTTATTGAAAGTGGTAACATTAAAAAAGTCTATAAATACATACGTTCCTCCATGACATCTAAAGTTTCCATTCCGCTACTTCAAAAATCCAACCAGACTTTATGTTCTTCTGACAAAGAATCTTCCGAAACTCTCTCTTTAGCATTTTCACAGGTTTTTACTAAAGAATTAAATAGTGGTTATCTACCTGCTGTTAACTGTAATCGTGTCGGCGCATCCTTACAGCAAATTGAATTCACAGTGGATCATGTCAAACAACACTTAATTAAACTTCGCACGGCCGCTTCACCTGGTTTAGATGGTTTAACACCAAAACTGTTAAAAAGGTGCGCAGACACGCTTGCAATACCCTTAACGTTAATTATGCAAACCTCTTTCATCCAAAACTCCTTACCCCCTAGTTGGAAATTAGCTTCCGTTACCCCTTTTTTTAAAAAAGGCAACAAACTCGACCCCAACAATTATCGTCCGATTAGCTTGCTGCCAGTAGTTGCCAAAGTTATGGAAGCCATTATTTCCGAGCAGATGACCAAATTCCTTCTCCAGGAACATGTTATTTCAACACAACAACATGGATTTGTCTCTGGTCGCTCTACTCTAACCAATCTCCTACACTGTGTTAACGACTGGACCTCATCCCTTAACAGTTCGCAGCCGGTCGACGTTGTTTATCTAGATTTTTCTAAAGCCTTTGACCGTGTACCTAAGCGCAGACTTCTACATAAGCTAGAACATTTCGGAGTTCGCGGTACTTTACTTCGTTGGATAGATGATTTCCTGACAGATCGATATTACAAAGTTAGAGTTGGCGAATCTTTCTCACAGGACAGGTTAGTGGAAAGTGGAGTGCCTCAGGGTTCTGTCCTTGGACCTCTGCTTTTTACGGTTTACGCCAGCGATATTCCTTATTATGTCTCAAGTAAAATATCGTTTTACGCAGACGACACAAAAATATATGCCAATCCAAACACAAACCAGCTAACCCTCCAAATGGACTTGGACTCTATTTTAACTTGGTGTTCCCAGTGGTTACTACCCTTAAACGCGGAAAAATGTGTAGTGCTTCGAATTGGCAAAAATAACCCACTTGTGCCGTACTTTGTTAACGGGCAGCCATTAGAATCTGTGTTTTCGTATAACGATCTTGGTGTTATTGTGAACAGCAGCCTAACTTGGTCCGATCATATTACCTCTATTTGTAAACGTGCAAACTTCAGACTGTATCTTATTCGGAGGTGTTTTTCGGGAGTTTCAATGCAATTATTTTGCAAACTTTACACTTTGTACGTAAGACCCATACTTGAATACGCTGGACCAACGTGGTATCCCGATCTGGTTCGAGACAAGACTCTGTTGGAAAACGTTCAAAGAAAAGCCACTCGAATTTCTTTGGGACCGAGAAGACCGTCTTATGCAGAAAGACTTAGTATGGCTAACTTAACTACGTTTGAACTTCGCCGACAACGTGGAGACTTAATTACAACATTCAAAATACTAAAATTCAATTTTGGAAACCTCGATGAAATATTTATCATAAACCAAGATGAACGCCTCAGAGGTCATCAATATAAACTAAAGAAAGAAAATTTTTCTATAAGACAAAGACAGAACTTTCTTCCAAATAGAGTTTTTGAGTGCTGGAATAACCTCAACTACAACATTGTCTCCGCTTCCTCTACCAACTCGTTCAAAAACAGACTCGACAGTTTTATATTATAGTTGAAATATTGTTTTTGTTTTAAACCAAAAATTGTAATTTTATTTTCTTTTAGTTGTAATTTTTGTTATTTACTAGTAGGTGATTAATGAAATTTCTTTGTTTTTGGGCATAATAGGGACTTAGTTCCTCTGCCCTCGCTTATATTATAATAATAATAATAATAATAATAATAATAAAAAATTTAGCACAGGGTTTGCGACTGGCGCATATCGTGATTATCCATAATGGGCACATCCTAAAGGGATTCCAGGAAAAAAATAGCTTCCTATGGAAAATGTCCAATCCAAAACAGATCCCGCCTTGACTATAAATAATAAAATTGAATATATTTGTTTTAAAGACAAAACTTCAATATACAAGGAATGGTGTTTAAATTGTTTATAAAAATTATTTATGTTTTTTTTTAGTAGTCAGTGTTACTCACTGTACGTCTTATGCTATAATTCGCGTGGGCATACGTCTCATTTTATTGCAGTGGATTGTTTTCTTTCTCCAAGAGCAGCTTGTACTAGCTGTACGGTGTTTTGTGGGTTATACCAACGTGGTCCAATTATTTGTTTACCCATTTCTCATGAATGATCTATAGGGTTAAGGTCGGGTGAGTAAGTAGGCCACTACAGAATAGTGATATCTTCTGCTTCAAGGAAGTCTGTAGTGACTCTGCTGGTATGTGGAGGTGCATTAGCCGACATGAAAATGAAAATTTTTATCCACTTTACTTTTTCAGAGTCTAACTATAGGTTCTATGTAAAACCAAGTCAATATACCTGCGAGCAATTAAAGTTAATTGAATAGAAATGAAAGGAGTTTTTTTACCGACCATATTACTTTCCCAGCATATAACACTTCCTCCTTTATGTCTGTGAACAGATTTAGATTTTTTCGTTCTTTCTTGTCTTCCTCGCCCTCTAAATACACGAATTCATTGGTCATATGATTTAACATAAATCCTTGTTTCGTCTGAAAAAAGCTTATTTCGCCAGTTTCCAATATTCCAGTATTATTAATTAAGACACAGATTAAGGCGATCAATCTTTAGCTGCCTGGTTAACTCAATAACCCGTAACTGTCTACTGCTATATAGTATTTGGCCACGAACTCTTCTTCTTATTGTTTTAACTAAAATACTTACACCTGTACCTTCCAAAGCTGTTTTTGGAGTTTCAGGCGAAAAATTGTTGGGTCTCTTCTAGCTACTTGAAGAATAAAACGATCCTAACAAGTCTTTGTTACCTTTTGGCGACTTTAATCGTGGTCTATTCTGATATCTAGCACAAATGTTTGACATAACACCTTGTGTTATACCTACCACTGCAGCTATAACACTTTGAGACATTACTTGCTCCAGAAGACCAAAAATCTTCTCCCTTTCCCCAAGGGAAAGTTGGTTTATTTATTTTAGTTCAATTTACAAATAAAACAAATAATTTGTACCGTGCCGGGTTATACTATCTGATTGTTTTATAGGTTTGTTTACCTTTAATAAAAACCTTTATTCTTCGCAACAATAATAGTTTTTTGTTATTGTTTTAAATCAAAAAAATTGTTTTGAAATACATGGTAATTCCATATGAGTTTGGTTGTGTGTGGATGTTAAGATCTGTACCAAACGTCAAACGGTAGTTATTAAAAAACATTTTTTTCTTATAAATAACTAAATTTCTAATTATGTGGTATCTGTTAATATATAACTTAAAGGTGTACTTTCTTTTAAAACAAATTAAACGTATTGGTTTTTAAAAAAATAGATCTTAACCACGTAAATCTTTTAAACCCGTCCAACTCAAAAACATAAAAATGTGACTTAATCACTTTTTGCACTGACCCCTTCAATTAAAACTTACACTAAACTTTCAAACAAAAGCAATAATAATACTAATAAATAATAAGATATTGTTACGATAATAAATGTTATGGCGTATAAAACTGTAAATATTTTATGACTAGTTTTTTTTTATTGATTCTCGTAATTTCTAGGTCAAAATCTACCTGACACACGAAGGGTTCCCCTTCGCTATAAAAACAACAGATAAGAGCTTTCTGGAACCGCACCGATACCAGTTTTTTTATCATCTACTTATGATGATATGTCTACTTCGAGAAGGGCATCGTATTTTCGAGATTCTATTTACCAGCTGGTTTCGTATAAATAACGGAAGATTCTCATTGAGCAGTTAGTGAAGAAAAGAAACTCGCGAACGTGGTTTAAAATGTACGAACGTAATAAATAGTTGTACAGTTATTTAATAAATTGATAATAAATTATCGTGAGTTTTAATAAATTAGAATAAAGACAATAGTTTATTGGATCTTGTGTAATATGTTATAATCTATTGCTATAATAACTGTTCTCGGAAGTTCTTATGAGATGGTTTCTTGTTACCTTCCCCATCGTACTTTTCTAGTCGATTAAAGTCAGTATTTGACTCCTACGTAGCAGTGTCTGTTATAGAGTTTTTAAAGAAGACATTTTTTAGTAAATTTGGCACTGTGATTGTATAGCTGCTGCCCTACACCTTGCTAGTTTTAGTCCGCTCTAAGTATTTGATTCCCCATTACTACGCTTAAAAGCCAGACTACCACTTCCTCCAAATTCGCCGTTTTAAATGTTCTTCTTATCTGCCTTCATCGTCGTTGTCGTCTTCATCGTATATGTTGGTGATATGTTCGATCTAGGATATACAAGAGTGTACCGACGCATTCTTCGTATATTCTGGCCCAAACATATTACCAACATAGAGTTAATTCACAAAAGGAAAAAGACAGCAAATATTTGATTACACGCAAAAAGCGCCTATGTATCTGTTGATACTTATTTCGACTTAATAGGTCTCATCAGAACAGTTATTCATAGGTGTTCTCAACGTGAAAAATCAATATTTTCTGTCTTTTAAGAAGCAACACTAAAATGGCTTCAATACGGACGCAATAGCGACATCTAATAATAAAATCCGTAAAATAGTTTCGAAACATAATTCACATTTCTGCTTATAATCTGAGCCTTCTAAAAATTGTAAGGCAAACAGACGTTGATAAAAGATGTTAAAAGGGACTTGGGGCATCTAAAATTTGCATTCCACGACATGTCTTTACAACTAAGCAGAAATCCTTAGCGAATTGTGTTTTTCGTACTCACACAAAGTATATCCGAATAAAATGGAAAAGACAGCAAATATTTGATTTCACGCAAAAAGCGCCTATGTATCTGTTGATACGTTTGTGTTTCGAAACTATTTTACGGATCTTATTATTAGATGTCGCTATTGCGTCCCTATTGAAGCCATTTTAGTGTTGCTTCTTAAAAGACAGAAAATATTGATTTTTCACGTTGAGAACACCTATGAATAACTGTTCTGATGAGACCTATTAGGTCGAAATTCGTATCAACAGATACATAGGTGCTGTTTGCGTGAAATCAAATATTTGCTGTATTTTTCATTTTATTCGGAGTACGAATACAAGAAACACAATTCGCTGAGGATTTCTGCTTAGTTGTAAAGACATGTCGTGGAATGCAAATTTTAGATTCCCCATGTCCCTTTTAACATCTTTTATCAACGTCTGTTGGCCTTGCAATTTTTAGAATGCTCAGATTATAAGCAGAAATCTGAATTGTGTTTCGAAACTATTTTACGAATTTTAATTCACAAAGTTGGAAAAGAAGTCATGACCACAATTAAACAAATAAAACTTGAATATCTAGGCCACATACTGAGACACGATAAGTACCGTCTATTTTAATTGATTATCCAGAGAAAATAGAAGGCAGGTAAGGGCTAGGTAGAAGAACACAGTCGTGGCTGTAAAATCTGCGGAAATGGTTCAGGCCCTCATTAGTCGATTTATTCTGTATTTAAAGTGCCGTAGAGTACATAAAGAACATAATTGTCATGTTAACCAACTCTCGCAACAGACAGGGCGGCTGAAGAAGAAGAAGTATTTTGTTGTATGTGTATGTATGTGTATATGTAGGTGTGTGTATGTGTGTGAGAAGATGCCTTATTATTAAGTAAATTCCTGCGCTACGATTCGACAAAGGTGCGATTTTTTTAAAATTCTTATCCGGATTCCTCCTTACGATTCCTGGGTGTTTACAGTTACTAAGTTGTTACTGTTGTTACTCACTATTTGGCCGGCCCGAAAAATTTATAATTCATATTTATTATGTGTTGCATTTTCCATGCCGGGCAGTATAGCTCCGCTTGCGTGGTTTAAAGTATATGTATGCTGATCTGTGTAATTATTAAAAATTATTTATAGAGTTATTGTCTAAAGTTCGTTTAATATAAAAAATAGTTAACCAATGATTGATGAAAGTTAGCCTTTAACTAAACATATTTCCTATCCATACCGAAAAGATTAAGAGATACATATAATACATAAATTAGAAATACGTAACGTAACTTACTAAATGTTGTGGTAATTTCCATAACCATAATGTCTTGTCCAGACAACCGGTCGCTAGTAAAGAACAATCTACGTTAAAATAGCAAGATGTAACTATTGAATCATGATCTAGCACGTAAAGACAATTGGCACTGTATACCGACCAAATTCTTGCTTGTCTGTCAGTGGCTGTTGAACAGACGAATTCGCTTACGATTTGGGAAAATCGAACACATAACACATTTCCTCCGTGTCCCTGAAGTGACCGCCACAATTTAACTTCAATTTTATCTATAGAAGTGTCACATTTCTGTAACAAATAAATAAAATTATTTTTATATATTTTGCTAAAACACCTATTTAAATATTAAAAATAAATTACAATAAAGATGCATGATATGCATTTATAAGGTTTTTTTTCTTCGTGTTTTAATAGAACTCACCGTTGTGAGTTTCAGTGGCATATGACATTATTGGTCTTACACTGGCTGTATAAATTCTTGACTTCATCCCAGTGTTAATGTGTCTATTTCACCATATACTCGTAGTGTTAATAAATCATCCTGCTGTATATGTGCTTTTTATACTTGATCTCTCAGTTCTTTGTCCAGGTATTTTATCTCCATTACTTGTTCAATACTAATGCCATTAATTTCTATTTTACATCTGATTGGATTGTTTTAGTTCTCTTAGATGAGTTAATTGCTGTTTAACTGGGAATAAGCCACAATTAAAGATAAAAATACGTTTATTGACATTTCAATTTCCACTTCGGAAATCGTTCTCAAAATACAAACAGTGTTAAAAAGCAAATCTTCAATACTTACAATATCTTGTTCAACAAAAAATAAATTCGATCTATGATATTGTAATCTTTCTCGGATCATGGACAAACTGGCTCTATGTAGAATGTTTTCCAACCTTCTGCTTGAATATGCTGGACGTAACTTCAAGCCCTTTGGTATTAGGTTGTTGTCTCTACATCTTCATAAGAATTTAATTGAATTTTGACAATGTGCCAGTTTCTTGTATAGAATTTCCAATCTCCGAAAATTTTGAATAACTCTGGGCCCATAACGGTTTCTTAATATTGTTCTGAAGCTATTTTTTTGTGGCATTTTAAATTAATTGCTATTTAACTGGGAATAAGCCACAATTAAAGGAAAAAATACGTTTATTGACGTTTTAATTTCTACTTCGGAAATCGTTCTCAAAATACAAACTGTTTGTTCCATAATGTAAGTTCCATATTAATTCCATCTTTACCAGGGGCTTTTCCATTTTTGCTTCTCTGTATTACTTTATCCAATTCCTCTAATGTTGGTTATTTTGAGATTTCGATGTCTACTTCATCTACTTCGCCTGCTTCTGCTGTGTGCATCGTTTCCTCCTCATTACGAAATTCTTCTCCTGTTGTTTCCTCCGTTAAAAACTATCTGTAGTAATCCCTCTATACTTGCTTGTAATATTGATCCTCTATTATCACTATTCCCTCTCTATTTTTTATTTCGTTTGTTTTGCCCTTGTATTTTTTGTTTTGTTCTTTAATCTTTTTGTAAAAATTTTTCGTATTACTGTTTGTTCTTTCTTGCTCTATTTCCTGCATTTTTTCATCTACCCATTTTCTTTCATTTTGCCTTATTACTTGCTTGGCATTCCTTTTTAATTTTACATATTATTCTCTGTCTTCCTCTTTATCTGTTTTTAGCCATTTATTTCTGGCTTGCACTTTTTTTGTTATTTCTCTACATTCTGTTATACCATCCGTTTTTTGTTTTAGCCCGACTTTTACCTACCTGCATATTTGCAACTTCTGTTGATTTTTGGATCGTCTTCCATTCTGTTTTTATATCTTCTGCATTATATGTCTCTTTTATTTGAACTATTAGTGCCACTTCATATTTTTTTCTTACTTCTTCATTGCTCATTGTATGGACATTCTACTTTTTATGTTGGTTTTTCTGTTTTGTTTCAATTTAAACTTTTTATCTTATACTCTCTGTGACCATGTAGTGGTCTGAATCTGCACACGCACATCTAAATGTTCTTACATCTTTTATTGACGATTGTTTTTATTTATTAATCAATATGTGATCAATTTGACTATATGTTTTCTGATCTGGTGATCTTCATGTTGCCTTATGTATTTTAGGATGTTCAAAATTTGTTTTTGTTGCTAGGTTACATAGGTTTTGCCCATTGTCATTCGTGTTTTCATGTATTGTATGCTTTCCAAAAATTTTTTTTAAAAAGTTCTCTTTTTCAATCTGGGCATTGAGGTCTCGTAGTACAAATATGACATCTTCTTTGGTTTTTTTTTTCTATTTCGTCTTCGACCCTACCATAAAAGATTTTTTTTCGTCTAATTGCTTTTTTCTGTGGGCGCCTGTAAGTTCAAGACTGATATATTAAATGGTTTGTTATTAATTTTTGTTTTTTCTTCTTTGTTTGGCAGTCTGACTAAACATGTTTTATTGTCTAGTTTCACTGCTTTTTCTATATTTACGGTAATATTTACATGTTTTTTCATAAAATTTCCTATTACTTTTTTCAGTGTTCTTTTATCTCCAGCTTCTATTGTCATTTCCTGTATTATAACATTATTATCTTTTCTTATTATATCCAGCCTTTAAAGGCGTTCCTTTTGTATCATTCAGATCCTTTTTGATTTGTTCGTTTTCTATCCGGATTTTACTATTCTCTATTGTTTTAGTTCTGCTAGTTTGGAGGAGACTTGTGTCGTCAAAATAGCAAGAGATAAGTCACCAATCGGCAGAAATAGTATCGGACGACTGCGCCAAAGATGGAGTAACAACCTTCCATCAAGGTATTTACCATCAAGAATTTATAAAGCCAGTGTAAGACTAATAATGACTTATGCCTCAGAAACAAGACCCGATACACCAACAACGCAAAGGCTACTGGAAACGGCAGAGATGAGAGTAATGAGAAGAATTACAGAAAATAAGCTGATATATCGACAGAGAAGAGAAGATATTAGAAGAAAAGATAACGTACTGTGTATAAATGAAGGCACATAAAATAGAAAAAACGAATGAAATAACCATACAAGCAAAATGGAGGAGACCCGTGTTGTTACAATAGCAAGAGATACGTCACCAATCGGTAGAAGAAGTTTTGGATCACCGCGCAAAACATCCATATAGGTATTATTTTACCAATAAATACGCAGAATTGCTTATAAAGAGAACGAAGAAGAAGTAGAACATGGGAACCCTCAATAGATGTCTGGCTTGCAGGTCAGTTTCCTGTAATCTATTCCTCAAAGTTTGATCACATATAGTATTATTGTGAGTATTTACGTATTTACATAGAGTTCACGTGCAGTTAGATACACATTTAGCATATGCATGGACAAGCTAATGCTACCACATACCGATCCTATCGAGGAGTAATTGCACGTTGGCGACCTCCAAGTTTTTTAGCGACATTACCAAATTGTTCATATCGACGCCACAATCGCGAAATCACCCTTCGAGACACGTCACAACGACGTGCAATATCAGCTTGTGAAAGACCAGCCTAAATGATAAATACACTTTACATTTAGTAAAATTTTAAAGTAACTAGATAGAGACAATCTTTAAAATTGGAAGCACAATCTCTTTACAATTTGAAGCAATTAATTTAAGGCGCTGTCACTTTTGCCTTAATAAAACAGTGCATTTGACAGAATCATTTACATGGCATAGTTTGATTTATAGAGAACAAGTTTTTAAATCGAATGGTATATATTATCAAAAAAGTTTTTGATATAAGGTTGAATACTCGAATAAATAAACTTTAAAAAATTAAAGGCAGATATCGAGCACAATTTTAATAATCAAATCTTGCCCAAGTACTTTTGCTTTCTAAAGCATCATCAGGGGCATATCGCCAAATTTGGGCTATCCAGCAAGCTCAGAATGTAATAAAGATGAAATTAAACATAAATTGTACATAACACTACACTTAACAAGAACAAATAGTTTAAAATTATTTAAAAATGTTTCGACGCTACATTCTTATCGGCAACACGAGACAGAATGATGACCATTGACTGGATAGCCCAAATTTGACGAAATGCCCCTGATGATGCTTTAGAAGGCGAAAGTACTTGGGAAAGATTTGATTAATAAAATTGTGCTCGATATCTGCCATTAATTTTTCAAAAAAAGTGTTTATTAAAAAAAGTGGAATAATAATGACGTTCCTTAGACATTTTTGATGTGACATTTTAATTCTGCTTATGTTCCTACCTTCAAGAATATTGCAAAATTCCAAACTATTCTATTTGGAAAATCGGATCTATTGACAAATATATTTAAAAATTATTTGTGAATATTTGTTAACTATATTATTTACTTATACTTACATTTGGCAACGATATTCTCCACAATTTCACTAAACTATCATTACCACAGGTAACTAATAAATACGATTGGGCATTGATAGTTAAGTTAGGTATTGGTTCTAAGTTATGAGACATATCACAATCTTGAATTCCATAATCATGTGCATCTTCTTTTATATACAAACATGCAAAACTTTCCAAAGACCAAATTCTGTAGTCTGCGTTTACCGAAACGGTAACAGAAATTAGACCATCTGGAGAAACACAGGCACCAGAGATTGTGTCTAAATGACCTTCGAACTGCCTAAAAATTTAATAGTATATTAAAACTTATTTTTATCTAATACTGAGTAAATTCAGTTAGGAAGAACTCAAGAGTTACTTGCGTGAAGTACAAAAAAAATGTGAAAGTTTGGAATGATCTGAAACGTTAGAGAATTATATACTAGGCCAAGACGGATATATTTTTCTGGGTTTCTGGGAAACAAATTTGTCAATAATTTCGGTGATACGAATTTTTTTGGTGAATTCGGATTCTTAACATATAATCGCTAACTCTTAAAACTTCTTTAACCTCAAGTCACAGAAGCAGGTAAGGTGAAAAAATTTTTATTGTCAAAACAAAATTCCTAATGTCAAAACAGGGACAGTACCATTTTTGTCTATAATTTAGTTGATTGTTTTTTACCTAAAAAAATATATTTGATTAAATTTATTTTATTAAAGAGTTATTTGTGTCTATATCAGTCACTATACTTTCTTCCTCCTGTCTAAATTTATACAGGAAGAACTGCAAAACAGACATCATCATCATTTTGGCTTTACAACCCTGTGTGGGTCCTAGCCTCCCAAAGAATTCTCTTCCAGTCGTCCCTTTCCATCGCCTTCCTCCGCCAAGCACGTATTTCCATATTTCTCATATCTTGGTCTATGTTATCTAGGAATCTTGTTCTGGGTCTTCCTCTTCTTCTTTGATTAATAGGTCTATCAAGGAGCGTTTTTCTAGCTGAGTCGGTTTGCTCCATCCGCATTACATGGCCTACCCGCCTCAGACGTTCTATCTTAATGTGTTTTACGATATCTGGTTCCTGGTATATTCTATAGAGTTCGAAGTTGTATCGTCTTTTCCAGACACCATTTTCATTTACCGCTTCATAGATTCTCCTCAGTATTTTACTTTCAAAACATCCTAACATGTTTTCATTGCTTTTTGTTAAAGTTCAGGTTTCTGAACCATATGTTAGGACTGGGCGTATTATTGTTTTGTAGATTTTTAGTTTTGTATTTCTTGATATAGCTGTAGATTTAAAAAGGAGATTAAGCTCAAAATAGCATCTATTAGCCGTGCAAATTCTGCGGTTTATCTCTGCGGTAATGTCATTTTCAGTATTGACGCGCGTTCCCAGATATACAAATTCGCTAACTGCTTCGATGACGTCGTTTTCTATAACAAGTGGCCGTCGTATTTGTGGTTGCGGACCTATTTTTATGTATTTTGTTTTATTAATGTTTATTAATAAACCCATTTTGTAGCCGCTTCCTTTAGTGCTACATACGCCTCTCGTTCTGCGTTTTCCGTTCTCCCAACAATATTGATATCATCAGCATATGCTAGTATTTGCACAAATTTGTTATATATTGAACCGGCAGTTGTGATTTATGACGTACGTATTACTTTTTCCAGAGCTAGATTGAATAATAATACAGGAGAGTAGGTCTCCCTGACGTAGCCCGTTATTTGCATTAAAAGGTTCAGAGAGTTCCCCCTGGTTTCGTACTCTGGATTCAACTTTTTCAAGGATTACTTTGGTTAGACTTACCAACTGATTCGGTACTCCCAGGTCTAGGTCTCTCAGAGTCGTAGGCTGCCTTGTAGTCTATAAATATGTGGTGCGTGTCTACACCGTATTCCAGTGTTTTCTCTAGAATTTGTCTCAGGGTTGAAATCTGATGAATTGTTGATTTACCACCTCTGATTATCTTAGATTATCAGTAGGAAAAGCCACTAATTTTTTTATAAGATCGGCAAACGCAAACAATTTGCTTCCACATTTTTTCATAGCACTAATGACGTTAGTGAGACATTAATGTCTACTATGTCGGCTTTGTCAGAGTCTCCCCTAGTCACGTGATCTGTTAATTCACTTTTTTTATAATGGCTTTAGCTTAGCCAATTAGCTTATTAATTCACTTAGAATGGCGTTTATAAGTTCATTTTTTATACGAAAGATTTCACGTTTTATTTGTTGATAATCTGAAACTATTCTTTAATTAATGACATGGTTTAATCTTCCAGGAATATGATATTTTAATAAACATATTTTTTTAGATCATAATTACAAACCTTCAAAGCAATGGAATTAGATATAAAGGTTCTAAACAATCTAATAATAGAAAAGAACAAGAAAATAGAAAAAGTAGAAATAGATGTAAAGACGGAAAGAGATGAGAAAATTGACTTGATTAACGAACAAGATCGAATTAGGCAAGAAATCGAAGACCAGCGACAAGTTTGGGCACAAGAAACAGCAAAATTAAGAGAAGAACTTGAAAATATGAACGAGATTGTGCGTGTTTCTGCCCTCTACAGGGGGTTGAAAAAATAAAAACTAATAAAAGATACGAACTTATAATTTTAATTAAAAAGTTAAGTAAAACGTACATATTATTATAAATAAATATGTTAAAAACGATATCTAACTGAAATATGTCATTTTTATTCCTCTACCCACTCCCTGCCCTCCCTTTTAATTTTGTGTCTATTTCACCATACTAAGTTGTCGGATTGCTGTTCTTGTTTGTCCTAATCTTTGCTTAATTTCTTCCCATGTTGTTGCCTTTTTTGTGATTATAAACCCCTAGTATTTGAATTTCCTTTGATTATTACGTTGTCGTCAATCTGTCGATCTTCTATGTCTTCTTCACTTGTGCAATCACTGCTTGATCGTCTGCAAAGCTTAACGTGTATAGGAATCCGTTTCGTACCGATACTCCTGTGCCTTCGCATGTTCATTTCCATGTAGTCAAAGTTTTCTCTAAGTATATTTTAAATAGGGTTGGAGATGTAAAGCAACCCTCTAGGAGCCCTTTTGTTATGGTGACGTCTCCTATGATTCTTGTTCCCATTTTAATGGAAACTTTATTTTCTTTATACAGAGCTTTTGTAGCTTCTATGAAAGCTACATCCGTCTGTATTTCTAATTTGTACATTGCCTCTCATAGTTCTGACCTTAGTACAGAGTCATACGTTTTTCTCAGGTCCACAAATACCAAATGTATATCTCTATTTTTTGCTCATTTCTTTTACAACAATTGTTCTAGCATTTATACGTGGTCTACATGATTTTCCTGCCGTGAAGCCTGCCTAATCTTCCCCGATTTTGCCTTCTTGGTCTATCTTTTCTCGCAGTATCTTCCCATTTAATCTTCCTATTGATGATATTACGCTTATTTTAATATATTTTTCGCATCGTTTGTTATTATTTTTTTAAATATAGATGTCATATATGCCTCCGTACCTTCCTTTGGGAGCTATTCTCCATTTATGTTTATAAGCTCACGTGAGATGCCTCCAGGTCCCGGTGCTTTCTTATTTTTGATTGCTTTTATGACGTTCTCATTTCTTTATCTGTTATTTTTATTACTTCTCGTGGGGATCTGCTTCGGCTTCCCCTGTTTCCTTTTCCAATGAAGTCTTTGTTCTGTTCCTTGTAATAGTCATTCCATTCTTTGTCCTGTATATTTCCCAATTTAATTTTTTATTTTGAGTTTTATTTCAATTCTCTCAGTTCTTTCTATGACTTCGAACTTCTTGTACCTCCTATGTATATTTCAATATTTAAGCAAGTTCTTTCCCATTCATCATTCTTTTGCTGTGTTATTTGTTTTTTCACTTCTCTATCTTTTTCTCTATATTCTTTATAAACTTCTTAATTGTTTGTAGTCAGCCATTTGCTATGTAGTTGCTTTTTTTCTTCAATTATTCTTTTTGTTGGTTTATTTATTTCATAATAGTGCTGATTATTTGTTATATGTTTCTCGTATATGTCTTCGATGTTACCGTATCTAAATTCTATTGGAATTCAAATAGAAAATATAAAAAACAGTTAAAGAGATCAAAACAAAAATCAAGATCTGATTATTGATCATGGATCACAAATACAGAGACCCTGCAGTATATGAGATCTAACAAAGATTGCTATAGGACAAATAACCAAAACATGAACATTCAAATTTTAATACCTTTACAAATGAGATTAATCAACTGAGTAATATTTTGAGTACTAATATAACAACAACAAAATCAAAGAGGAGAAAAATAGTAGTCACTAAAATATTTTGTTAGAGAAGAATGTTACTAATTCAGTGTTGCGAACAGAAAACAAACAATTCAATTTTGGGAAAACTAAAAATCAGAAGAAGGCTCTTCGTAAAGTTCAACTGTAACAATTATAATAATATCTGGGACATCTTATCAGCACACAATGAAAATTCCCAATAAAATAGATTGAGTAAATCACAGAAACCTACAAAAGACCAATAAACGATTGAAAAAAATGATCGGAGGCAGACTTCTATTAAGATGGAGTATACACAATATCATAACGACCACTACAACACTCCTTCCGGATGGTATAAGAATAAAGAGAAATATGGTCTTCATGGTTCTTCACTATTTTGTTTTACTCTAGGATATGGATCTTTGTGTTATTTGCCACATATTTAACACAAAAGATCTTTTAATAATAATACATACGCAAGTTTTTCCATTGTCTCAGAATTCCATAATATTGCTTTTTCATCATCTCCAGCAGTCAGTAATAGAGTGTTGTCAGGGCAGAACCGGCAAACTTTTAATGATAAAATATTTTTTGGCAACGATCGTATTTTTTCGCCAGTCTAAAAATAATACATGTAAAACATAAAAAGGGAAAGTAGTAACAAAATCTTTTAAAATTAATGCAAAAATACTAGGTCCTCATGTATTTAGAGTGAAATCTCAATATAAATAAAACAATGTACAAATTATCGAGTAACAAATGATGGACTACAGAAAATATAGGACGGAATAATTGTGAGATGGATTCGTAAAAGTAACATACATATCACATAATCAGTTTAAATGTATCGAAGGCAGATCAACAACATATAGTACAGTCACTGAAGACTTTCACTCCGATTTCGTTGAACCTACATCGATTTTAATGAAAATTTTTTGAGTAGTTACCTTAAGAAACAAAAATGACATGGTGTCAACTTGCGCTTTTACCCTTGGGGTGGATGCCACCCCTTCTCGAGGATGGCAATCATTTTATTAAAAATAACCCCAAGAATCGATAGGGGGAGCAAATCTAAACAAAATTTATTTTATAAAGGTATTAAAATAAATCAATACTTTTTGATATTGTTCTGAAGCTATTTTCTTGTGGCATTGTAAATTAATTACTATTAAACTGGGAATAAGCCACAATTAAAGATAAAAATACGTTTAATGAAATCGTAGGCTTCCACGGCCAGAGTCAGAATTATAGTTTATTCGTCTTCCGGGTTTGGACCGTGTCATTTGTGAGTGACCCAAAAGTGGGTTCATCTCGACGTTTCGCTACAATTGTATGTAGCTTCTTCAGGAGAACAAAGAAAAAGAAAACAAAAGACGAAGATGGGTAGTTAGCAACGGTAACTCAGTTACTCAACGCAACCAGAGGCGAATACTAACTACCAAGATGGGCATTTGGTCACAGTAACTCAACTACTCAACGCAGCCAGAGGTGAAAACCAAATGCCAGGACAGGGATTCACGTCCAACAGCTCAGAATACTAACGCGTCGAGAGGCGGGGAGTGAATCCGCGGCTTGTAGCGAAACGTCGAGATGAACCCACTTATGGGTCACTCACAAATGACACGGTCCAAACCCGGAATCTATAAAAGTATATTCGTCCACATCAAGACGAATAAACTATAAAAATACGTTTATTGACGTTTCAATTTCCACTTCGGAAATCGTTCTCAAAATACAAACAGTAAATTAAACACATTTTGTTTTTTGTTACATAGTGAAAAATTCTTCTAATAATTAAATTTTATCTGACTCATTTATATTGACAATTCAGACATACATTATGCATTTTAAAGTAGACGACTTTAAAATGATATTGCCAATATTGTTGAGTTGCGCTCCTGGGACGACTTTACTTATAAGATAGTTCATTCGATTACATGAAATCAACTTGACATGACATGAAATCAATTTTATTTTCTTTTGAGAATAACTCCATATATACTCAATAAACTTAAAAAATGATAAAGAACAAAATTTGAGGTTTTTTTTAAAAGATTTTATTTTTTTTTATATTTTTGTAGGATAAAAAATAACTGAAATAAAAACGTTTAAAACCTAAATTTTACTGCAAGAACCATGTAACCGGGCCCTTTCACCTTTTTTTTTTTTAATAAGGAAGTTAAAAGATTAATATGCGATTTGATATTTCAGACATATAAAAAAATGATTTTTTCATGATTTTTGATTTAAGAGATAGTTGCTAAAAGGGTTGAAAAATGAACTAAAATCATAAATCATGCTTATAAATGTTGCACAATATTTATTGTATTTAATTAATCTAGATTACTTATGCCAGAATGTTTAAATCTACATTTTTTACCATTTTAACAAAAGGGGTAGATTTGTAGAAATCGGAGGTAATAGTTAATTTTTACCTTCATTGACTGTACTAATATACAATTACAATTCTTAATAGAGATGTGAAAATATAGAAATGAAGAAAAAAAGGCTCGTTAGGTAAGGACGCCAATTAAGGCTACGTTAAGGCTTAAATGTCTGTAAAATTTTGTTTACCAATAATATGGGGGAAAAGTCTTGTATGCGTATTTCCTAACATTTTAGCTATCGAATTTCACTATAAAATACTTAATAAATAAATAAAGAAATATAAAATTTTAACATTGAATAACATTGAATATTTGGCCTTAATTGGAACTGGTAACTTAATAAAGCCAGTTTCATTTTTTAAAGGAATTTACGTGAATAATAAATTTTAAACCTAAGAATTAAATAATAAATACAAAGTTTAGTAAAAGAAACTTTTATTTATATTAAAAACAAAAATTTGTCAATACATTAAGTATATATATCGCACATTTACACGCATCGAGGACATGCAAATATATCCTTGTCGTCTTCTGTTAATCCTATACATTCCTCGTGGATATACTTATACAACATACATACTTGCGCATATCAGCCACTCTATCCTCATCACACAAGAAACAGTACCATGAATATTTTTTAAAATTTGGTTTTGGTTTTACTGAGCTATGAGATTGTGCATTAAATATATCTCTGGTTACTTCATGTGCTGTCGCATTAATGGCCTGTCGACGTTTTTTTGTTGATACCTTTAGCTCCGGTGTAATCAGCAAACCACTGGAACTAAAACTTGCATTTAGTTCTTCACATGGCTCTGTCATACTTATTTTTAAAACCTTATTTTTATCATATTCATTTGACGTATAAACTGCATCACTATAATCCTCTCTGAAAGCTGTACCAATTGTGTAAGACTCAGATGAGTCACTGTCTTCATCTGAGATATAAGTTTGAAAAACTTTGGTCAGTCCTTTTTTTTTGGTAATTTTTCTTATCTCACTACTTAAGAATGATTTGCTTTTATTATTTTTGTTTACTACGCTGCAGGATAGCTGTTTTTTAAAGTTTGTCTTCCTTTTGCCACTTGTTTTAATTTCTGGTTCGGTTGTAGGATTTTCTTGAAAATCTTCGGTGATTGTTTCAATCTCTCATTGTGTCAGACAATTAGGTGCAAAGGCAGCATCCGGAATAATATTTGGATTGAATGGCCATATTTCAGTTGCTTCAAATACAGAACAAATATTTTTTTGTGTAATTGCGTTTTTCCAAACAGGAGTAAATATTAGCCCAAATCTTGCTCGGTTAATGGTACGTTCGTTTTTATGGTTCACTCAAAAATTTAACACCTCCTCATCCCAGTAAGATTCACAACTCCTGAAGACTGCTTTATAGAGTGTTTGAAGCTCATAGGTGGTGTTGGATGGTAGTCAAAACACAGTTACATATTTTTTAATTGCAGCTTCTGCAATTCTAATATCTAAATGAGATGAAGCTCCATAAAAAATTAAAAGGACTGGTTCAGGATTTTTAAATCGGCAGAAGTGATCTAACTACTATATAAATGTATCTGCTGTTATGTTTTCTTTCTTGGTCACTATAATTTTTGTTTCTGCTGGAAGATAACAATACCATTCTGGTTTAACTCGTTGCCCTTTCATAATGATAAGTGGCGGAATGCTGTTGTCTATGCCGTTGCCACATGCCACGATTGCTATATTTTCGCCGTGCTCTGGTGCAACGATATGCACTCTTTTAGCACCTTTCCTAGCCAATACAGTTTGTTGGTGATGCAGTGTAAGCTGGCGTCCTTTTTGCAAATGTTGTAAATTTAGGCAAGTTTTCCTGCGAAACCTTTCTTATATAAAATCTGTCGAAATTTCTCGAAATAGTCACTAACTGTACATTTCAATTTTTGGGCTTAAATCAAATTGAGTTTTTGAGCCCGACGCTCATTTCGTACGGCATTCATTGCAGCTTTCATGGCCTGTTTGGTTCACTGTGGCTTTTCCTGGTGTACATACTTGGTGAACTAATTGTTTATCTTCTTCTTCTTATTGTGCCCTCTCCTCAATGGAGGTTGGCTATTACAATTTTAAACTCTTCTCTATATTCAGCTGTTCTTATTAGCTGTTCAAAATTTAGCCCTGTCCATTGTCGGATGTTTTTGAGCTACGATAGTTTTTTCCTTCCTAGGCCTCTCTTTCCCTCGATTTTTCCTTTCACTATAAGTTGGTCATATTGGTACTTATTATTTCTCAGTATGTGGCCTAGGTATGATGTTTTTCTAACTTTTACTGTGTTAAAAAGTTCTCTTTCCTTGCCTATTCTATGCAGCACTTCTTCGTTTGAGGTATGCGAAGTCCATGAAATTTTGAGTATTCTCCGGTAAATCCACATTTCAAAGGCCTCCAATTTATTTACGGTTGATGTTTTAAGGGTCCACGTTTCAACTGCATATAGAAAAGTCGACCAGACGTAGCATTTTGATAAACGTAGTTGAATTTCGAGTTTTATTCGAGAATTACAAAACAGTTTTTTTATTTTTTCGAAAGATTTTCTGGCCTGTTCTATTCTCGATCTTATTTCTAGATCGGGATTTAGGCTGCTATCGATCCAACATCCAAAGTACCAACACATACTTAAATCTATTGACCTGTTCTAAAATGTGCCCATTTATTGTGCGAGGTTAAGGTATGTTTTGGTTTTTTTCGGATTGACATCACTTTGGTTTTTTTAATGTTTATTTTCTGGTCACAAATCGAGTTTGTCTTGTCGATGAGTCGTTGTGGTCCCAAGTCAGAATCCGCAATTAACACTGTATCATCGGCGTATCTGATACTGTGATACTTACGCCATTCATATTGACTCCATCCTTGGAATCCACCAATGCTTCTTTAAATAGAAACTCGGAGTAAAGATTAAACAGTAGAGGCGACAGAACACATCCTTGTCTAACTCCCCTTCTAATTTCTACTTCTGCGGATGTGCAACCTTCGATCCTAACTCTGGCGTTTTGGTTCCAGTACAAGTTTTTTAAGAATTTGATGTCTTTTCCATCTAAACCGACTTCTTGCAAACGTTCTAATAGTAGGTCGTGTCTTACTCTATCAAATGCTTTTTCGAAGTTTATAAAGCATATAAATATATATTTCTGTTGGTCGTAGCATTTTTGGGCGAGAACTAGTAAACTGAACAGGGCTTCTCTCATTCCCATGCCGGCTCTGAATCCAAACTGATCGTCTCCGATGATTGTTTCGCACTTTCTATAGATACGATTACGTACGGTTTTTATTAGGACTTTTACTGCATGACTCATAAGGCTTATCAGATGGAACTCATTGCAGTGTTGTGGGTTTGGCTTTTTTGGTAGTGGGATGAATATTGACTCCAGCCAATCTTGGGGTATTTTACCTGTATCATAAATGCGATTGAATAAAAGGACAAATATTTCGATATTTTCTTCGCTGATTAATTTTAATGTTTCTGGGTATATTCCGTCTGGAACTGTGCTTTTATTTGCTTTGAGATGATTAATTGCATTTATGATTTCGGATTTCAGAATTGTTGGCCCTTCGTTGTTATTTTCCAATCTTGGTTCTTCTCGTATGTCGTGAAAAAGAATTTTAATATAGTTTTCTCATTCTTTCAGTTTATCTTCCGTTGATTCTAGCAGTTTGCCATCCGTCTTCAGCACGGTGTGAAAAGCCGTTCTATTGGTAGTCGATATTAACTCTTTTACCTTTTTATATAAATTAAAAAAATCGTGCCTGTGTTGCAGTTCTTCTATTTAAACGCACTTTGTTTCCAGCTATTTCTCTTTCGCTTCGGTTATTTTTTTTTTCGAATTATTCTATTTAGTCTTTCGTATTCTCCGTCCTTGTCATTTTTTCCTTTAGATTCTCCTCGTTTGTTCATTAATTGTAAAATCTCTTCTGTCATCCATTCCTGTTTGATATTTCTAGGTGTTACTTTTAGATGATTTTCCGTTACATTGTTCATTTGTTCTTTAATAGTTTTCTAAAGAACGTTTATGTCATCGTACTCGCTAATTCTATTGTAGTCGATATTTCCTAAATTTTTGTTTAATTATTTATTTACTGTCTGATGTATGGTGTAGTTTTTCAATAATTGGATGTCTAATAGTTGGTGTTGAGGTTTTTGTTTCTTTATTAGTTTCCATCTGCGCGAACTTTCGCAACAACAGGATTATGATCGGAATTGATGTCAGTTCCAGGATATGTTTTTGCACTAATGATTGCATTGTGATATCTTATGTTGACTAATATGTAATCTATTTGGTTACGGATTACTCTGTTTTCATTGTGTTGTGGTGAAGTCCAAGTGTACAATCTGCGAGGGTGTAATTTAAACCATGTATTTGTCGCTACCATGTTGTGTTGTTGGCAGAATTCGGTCATTCTCTCTCCCCTGTCGTTCCTTGCTCCAAGTCCAAAGTCTCCGATCAATCCAGAAACTTTCTCCTACCTAACTTAGCATTAAAGTCACCTAAGATAAATGTTAGGTCTCGTTTTTTGGTCATCTTTATAAGTTTTTCTACGTCAGCATACCACGCTTCTAGCTCTTCTATTGGTTTATCGCCCGTACGGGCATAAGTTTGAATGATGTTAATATTAACTATTAATATAATTGTTTATAATTTCAACTATCTCTTAATAAGGCAAGTATACTCTTAATAAGGCCAATTAATTATCCTTATTAGGGCACTGTCTACTTTTCTATTTAACCTAAAAGAACAATACTAAAAAGCAATATGGCGAGAAAAAACAGTACCAGTTCCTAAAAGAGAATTAATTTTCTATTGCTTTAAAAAGAAATAATATTTCTTATATAATATTTAAGTAACTCTATAGTGATTTTATAACTTACCTAAAATTTATAACCAAACTTCGGCACCGGAGTAAACACCTGTCTAGTATACTTCGCGCTGCTGTTTAATACTATCGAATGAATGGAGTAGACGATTTTGACTGGGAAACCGATTTACAGTGACATCTAGTATGTAAGATCTATATTTACAATTATTGGCCTTATCAGAACACTGACCTTATTTGGCGTCACTACCTTATGGTATTTATTGTGTCTGGCGACAGACAGAGAAGAATGGAAAAGGATTGGGGATGCCTATGTCCAAAGATGGACCGAAGAAGGCTAATTAGATAGATAGATAGACCTTATGGTATTTATTATTAAAGGAGTACTTGCAAATATTGTGAAAATTGTGAAACTTTATAAATGATACTGTTTACTGATGGCATCGAGTTTTGCACGAATAGGCATACGAAAAAGCTCAATCTGGACGTCGGATTAAAAGGTTATATATTTCATTTAATGATTACGCCGTAACTAATTGCTCCTGGTAGAATTATTATTTTATCTGCTGCTTTTATAGAAATGTATAGTCTATATATAGTGTGAACTATAATAAATTGGGTTATTAAAAAGAACACGCATATTATTAATTAGATTTAAGTATAAAAGAACTTACTGCTGCATCCCATAATATAGCACAGCCATCTTGTGAACATGAAGCTAGTGTATTTCCATTTGAAGAAAATTCTACATGATTTATTGCGTAAGTATGACCTTCTAAAGGCGAAAAACAATGTTCTTCTGCATTATTTTCTTTTGAAATTTTAAACATTCTAACTAATTTATCACTGAAAAAATAATAAAGAATAAAGAATGTTAGAAAACGTTTTTTCAATTGTTTGTTTTAATGTTATTCTAGTTTTATTTTTCTTTATATATTAATCTATAAAATAGATATGAGGGGAAGTTTATACCGCTAACCATCGCAAAAAAGTAAAATTTAAGATTTACCAAGTAATTAGCGTAAGTTCAAATTTCTTATAAGTTAATGAATTTACTGAGACACAAAATCGAAGTCCTAAGGGCTGAGAAAGTATTTTCTCAGAAATTTCTGAGAAACATTTCTGGTGTGCTATGTAGCCATTAATATTTTCTTGATATACTCTTTAACTATTTATACCTGCAATATTTAGCATGGAAAAAAATGTTAGAGAGCACCTGCAACTTTTTCGAGACACTAATTAATTTCCCTTTAATTCATCTACTATGTCCACTCCTCCCTTGGTGCTGTTATACGACGTAGACGCAGTGTGGAGAACATGAAGCCCTGGGTAAGAAATAGCAGAGTAGAATATATAAGCCAAATAATAACAAATAGAGTAGTAAAGACGGCAAAGGGCACTTCCTCAATAGGAAGACAATCAGTAGGAAGACCACGAATGCGAAGGAACAATAACGTACTGGAGGCAAACTGAAAAACAGACAGTCATGTCTACATAAAAAGAAGTAGAAGAAGAATGCACGTAGTGCATTTTTGATAAAAATTGAAGTGAAAGTAATATATTCAAAAACTAACCTGTTCAGATACTAAGTATATCAATGAGTATTAATATTTATTATTTAATTTTAAAAATGTCCTTACCCAGATCCAAGGGCTAACAAATTTTTCCCACTAAAGCAACAGCTATTGACAGATCCCTCCAAGACATCATCCAATTTTTCAAGCAACATTACTATGTTTGTATTATCATTTTCTGTGGGAAATAAATGAGTTTCTGATATACGGTCTCCATTATGACTGTATTGATTCATTTCTGAGTCCAGGGTAAGGCTGTCTGTAGTATCCCAAATGATTATGTTTTTGTCATTTGAGCCTATAAAAAAAGTTTATGTTTAAAGTTGGTTTAAAAATGAGCTTTTTCGAAACTAAGTAGACTACAATGAATTTGACGGGGAGTTCATATTGTTTATTTATTGGCAGCAGTCAAAACATTGTTAAGAAGAGTTATATTATAATTCGAATTAAAGATTGCACTTTTTTAAATAGATATTAATATTGGTACTATCAGTAAATCATTATCAGTACTAATAATTCGTGAATAGTATATCAAATTCAGAATTGTATGATATGATTGGAGTTTATTTCGAATGTCACCAAAATGCCGCTATTGCCTCACGTATATATTCTGTAAGATATCCTGACAGGAGACATTATGGCAAAGAAGTATTTGAAAGAAAGGCAAGAAGATTAACAGAAACTGATAGTTTTCATCGTCCTTGTTTTAAACGACGTAGTAGAGGTATGACCGAAGATAATTCGATCAATGTTCTTGCATTTATTTAACAGAATCCACATATAAATAGTCGGCAAATCTCTATAGAATTATACATATCCAAAACTACTGTTCTAAGGATTTTAAAACACGACAGGTTGGTTTTTCATATTATAAAGTGAACGTTTCAATTTCAATTCAATTCAATTTCAATTTCAAGATTTTTTGAGTTTTAGTAAATATAGTGGTTTCTTTTTCACCCATATTTGTTATTCTATTTTTTAGACTGCATCCTTATCATGTAGTTCTCCTACAAGCTTTACATCAGAGAGATTTTGATGCAAGGCTGGATTACTGCAATTGGATGTTAGGTCTCCTAGAAGAACAACCGCATACCATGTCAAAGATTTTCTGGACAGACGAGGCTACGTTTAATATTGCGGGTTGTGTTAATCTGCATAATATGCATTATTGGGCTGAAGAATATCCGCACTGGATACATGAGGTGCAGGTTCAAGGTAGAGGAGTCCAATGTCTGGTGTGGTATAGTTGATGGAAAGATCGTAGGTCCATATTTTTTTGATAGAACTTTAAAGGGCAAAACATATTTGGATTTTCTGGAAAATTAGTTGCCTGTTTTATTGGAAAATATTTACTTACAAACAAGAAGGGATATGACATTACAACATGACGGGTGTCCTGTGCACTTTTCCAGATGAGTTCGAGATTATTTGTATGCAAGTTATCCAAATAAATGGATTGGAATGGAAAGTATATGTTTATGGCCAGCTAGATCTCCAGACTTAACATGTCTGGACTTTTATCTGTGGGGAAGATTAAAGTACTTAGTGTACTAAACTCGACCAACCACGCGAGAGGACATGAAACAGCGCATTAGAAAAACGTAATTAATAGCATATCAACAGCTGAGATTGAAGCAGCTGTTATGTCTACGGGCGAAAGATTCATTATAATTTACAATAAATAGGCATTTCCATTAAACATTTTGAAGAAAATCAAATTTTAATTTTTTCTATCTGAAGGTACCCCCTACCCATGGCAAATAAAACTAAATGCAATTGTTTTATAGTAGATGTAAATTAAATTATCAACACTCTTTCTATGACACTAATTTCATTAAAATTGGTTGATGCAAACCAAAGTTATAGGTATTTATCCAAAAATACTTTCCCACTCTCCCCCACCCTTTATTTAACATATTAAAAAGAGTACTTGAACAACTTTTTGCGGAATTTAGGCCTCTTTCTAGTTTACTTACTTAACACTTGGTATAATAATATAATTGGGCATATTTCACAAAAAACTGGTTTTCAAATTTTTCTTCAAAGGTTACGCCCCCTAGCGGTTAACCCAGAAACTTGAAAGTTATTTCCAGTGATTTCTCTTGGCCACTTTTGCTAAGGAATTTTTTCTCCTAAAGTTATAACATGAATAGTTTCTGATTATATAGCCGAGAGATCGGCTTATTGGACCACCCGGTACATGTTTTGAGCCACTAAATATTTGGTAAATCCGTTAAATGTTTTTAATTTGAATTTAAGTTACATTATTGAATCTTAAATGCTATGATGTTTAAGTTACAATTCGAATTGATAATATGGCAACGTAAGACGCCCCTCCACACTCACTTCACAGAGTGTTTAAAATCTTAAATAAGCTTATTTAAACTTTACAAAAAGTTAATGTACATCTTCGTTGTATTCCCATTTATTTTAGAATCCGGTGCAAGATAAAGATCTGGTCTCTTGTTGGCCTTTTTGGTGGGAAATCACACTGGTAATCACCTATTATTTCTTGTTTTTATGTATATTATTTCTTATTATTATTTTTTCGTACTGAATTAATCTTCACATTGGAATCATCGACTAAGCCTTGGAGGTTGTATGAATTATTGATATTGTATGTTAAACACATACATGTGGACAGGTACTATGTTGCTTCCACGTCATCGACATTTCTTCTCTTTGCCATATTTCATTTATAAAGTGATGTATTTGTACATAAAGTTGTTGTACCCCTTTTTTAATCAGTTATACATGAATGTCATCTGAATGCCATCTAGGACTTTATTTTTTGCTGCCTTTTCTTTTTGTGTATTTTCTCAGTGGTACTGTTTATGTTCGTATGTTATTCTTAACTCGTCAGTATTTAACAGTTGTTCGAGAAACTCTTTCCATTGTCGGCTTATGTCAGCATTCTTCCCAATATGTTGTTTTCTATAATCTTATATGGATCACGATTATTTATTTTATTGTCCTTTAGTGTTTGTATTGCTTTCTAAAACTGCCTAAACTGGCTGAATTTTAGTAAAAGATTCTCTATTCTCATCTGGTGGTATTGTTAGTAGCTCCATCCTTTTGTTAGTTTTTAACCTAAAACTTTGTTCATATTGTACAAAAAAGGTTATACATATGTGAAATTATTGATATACTTTCAGTGTATGAGAACTGTATTGAATAGGGCAGGTTTAAATAATTAGGAGAGGTAGTAATAAAGGGTACTACAGACAATAGCCAAATGAAGTTTATATCGAGTCCTACCAATATTTCTGTTTCACAAACTTGCGGTATTTATAGGTTTTCACTCGAAATATTCACATGCGGTTGTTCCTCGTAAAAGGGGAGCTGCCTTTACTAGTTTCTATACACGTATCTCGCGGTACTAACAATAAGATCAAGAGATAGAGCACATTCGCGTCTATTGGGTATATGATTTAAAAGAGAATTCGCGATGTTTTTCGCGTATCTATCAGCAAGAGAGAGAGAGAGAGAAAGAGAAAGAATATCTGTTACTAGCGCAAGTCAACAGCCAAGAGAGAGAGAGATTTAATACTGACGTGAAGTAGTAATTAATACAGCGAAAAATATGACATGGTTTTTTGCATGTGAAAAATTGAACACACATTTCTGGTCGAATAACTTTTTTCTCCTTCATCCTATGCATTCTGTTGCTGCCGTTTCTAGGGTATTTCGTTTATTTAACATTTTTGGTTTTTTTGTCAACTCTGCATATAGTATTTCTTCTTTCAGCGCCTGAACCCTTTATAAATCGAACTGATTAATTTATTATGAAATAATTGTACCACCAACCTTATTTTAAACATCATAGAAACATTTTTTAGCATATTATACTTACCAGAAGCTATAATTGAAAGATCTTTGGAAATAGTGGCACAATTAACATATCTATTATGTCCATCTAGAGAAGCCACACAATTACCTTCGTTATCCCAAACTTTAACTAGTTTATCCACACTTGTCGATACCAGGTATTCTCCGTTATGGCTGTACCGTACACAGGTTACTGACGAAGTGTGACCGTCATATACATCGAAGAGCTCTAATGCCATTTCACTTACGGTTGAGGTTTTATTTTTCACTATAAATTTGGCTGTTATTATCCATATTTTGATTTCGTTACTGTTTCCGCTTGATGCGAGTTTGTACTGTCTTGATAATGGATTGTTTTCTACAAAAAAAGTTACTCCTTTAAAATTAAAAATAAAAATACTTTATAGTACGTTATTTTCCGGGTATATAAACCGCTTTTCTGACGTTTTGTTTACAACTGCGGCAGACGTTATCAAAGGCAATGTATCAAGATTTATGACTGTCTTCCACTGACTATTAGCTTGGTTTACCACGGAAAAATGCATCGACATTAGTAACTAAAATATTATTGAAACGTTTCAATACTTGTGCTATGCGAAAAGGAACTCCTAAATAAGTGTTAGCCCTTAGCCACAATTATTTGTCATATTATGTCGGTAAATTCTAATCAAACTTGTGTCTTATGTATTTAATTTAATAAATTTTAATAAAAACTTACTGTCGAACGTGATATGTTTGTTAACATCAAGGGAAAATACTCCCATGTCTTGAGCATTATCTATTTTCGCCATAGGAACACAAGGAGATTCGTTGGCAGTGTCTACTAAGTCCTGAGTATTCCACACCATGATCATTTCTAGTGAACATGCACTGACCAAATAGTAGGAATCTGGTGTGAACGCCAATGATTGCGTAGTGCCCTGGTGGTCAAAAATAGTTCTAAAATAGAAAATATATTAATAAGTAAAGGTAATAATTTAAATAGGTAAAGAAATAATAAATAAGACTTACTCACAATCAATTTAATTTATCTATCAGACGACCGGTTTCGCTTTCTACAATATGCAAATTGTTTATTTATTTGCTCATTTATTAATTTATTACAATCTAACAGACTATTTTATAACAATTTGTGGGTCTTACCTTGTCTGTTTAAACTTTTAAAACCTTTTATACCTTTTTATTCAACTTACTCATTTTGAAATAAAACCACAGACATGTAATATTGGCATAATTATTGTAATTTACAACATCTAATTTGTTTATATTTATTAGACAACACCCTAATATGGATTTTTATTATTTCAGCATTTATTTAACGTTGTATCGAGACCTTAAGATGCTTTGCATATTGTAGAAAGCGAAACCGGTCGTTTGATAGTTAAATTAAATTGATTGTGAGTAAGTCTTATTTAGTATTTCTTTACCTATTTAAAATGGACTCACACAAGCAACACATTCATGATTTGTAATATTTTAACTTAATTTAATATGTAATTTTACTATAGTCGATCCTATGACTGGTTGAGACAGAAGGAAAAAGTAAGGGGAAAACTGCTGGTAAAGTAGTACTCAAATATTTGGATGCATTTATATACATCCTGATAAAACAATTTTTTGTTTATATTTGAGTATAACTCATTTTATAAACTTTCTATATTGCACACTAGACTTCAACAGACAAAAAAGGTGGTTTATTTTACTCTCATTAAATGTTGACTTACTCCGCTCCAGTAATGCGAATTGTACCTATTGAACAGTCATTTTTTTGTGAATTTTGATTTGTCACACTATATAATATTCTTCATAAATTCATTATCTTCTTGACATTATTTTATATATCTTCTTGACATTATTTTACAAATTATATTCTTTTATTATAGTATCATGAGGAAAGAATAAAGATGCAATTGTTGTTTTTTCTTAATTCGCTTAACAACACCATTTTTCACGTCAGTTTTCCAGGGTCTCGCTGGAGTATTTGCTACTACCACCAAGATTTGCACCAACGGCGGCTCCAGACAGCCTTACGGCCAGCCCTTTTGCACACACCACCGCGATCCTCCTACTAGTCAGGGCTTCATGGTCTCTATTAACGAGCCACGCATGCCACTGACGGTCGAGTATAAGCACGACGCTTTACCGCCATCCATTTTTAGGGCTAATAACTTCGGCAGGTGAGTTGGTACACACTCCATGGCGAAGTCCGACTTCTATGGTCACCGTCCTGCTGTCTTAAGTTACTAACCCTTTTATGATATCCTATAAGCGTCAATTTTGGCGCTTTAACTCGATGTTTAGTTCATCTCACATCGCCAATTCTGCTTACCAAAAATGGCCCACTTGGTACTCTCATTCGTTTCTCACGGCTTCATAAGTTCAAGCAAGCCGAAGATCTCACTCATTTGGGTATAGGTTGAGGTTATTTCGACCCTAATGCCTCTGATCACTCGCTTTACCGGATGAAACCCGTACGAAACTAGCGCCAGCTATCCTGAAGGAAATTTTGGAGGAAACTAGCTACTAGGTGGTTCGATTAGTTTTTCGCCCCTATACCCAGTTTCGACGATCGATTTGCACATTAGAATCGCTACGGACCTCCATCAGGGTTTTCTCTGACTTTGTCATGACCATTTACAATTCACCATCTTTCGGGTCCCAGCGTGTACGCTCTTAATGCTCCTCTTCTCGCAATGAGAATGAGATACCCTGGGAGTGCAAAGCGGCCACTTTTAAGGGCAAACCGCTTATCCTCCCTCGGTATACACAAGGTAAACCTTTATTTTCATTACGCCTTTCTTCTTCTTAGAGTGCCGTCTCCCTACAAAGGTTGGCAATCATAATGGCTATTTTTATTTTAGAACTTGCTGCTCTAAACAAATCAATCGATCTGCATTGGTACCAATCACGGAGATTCTTTAACCATGAGTTCTGCCTTCCTTGAATCTTTCCCTGTATTATCAGTCTCAAAATTTCATATTTTGGTCCCCTCATCACGTGGCCTAGGTATTCCAGTTTTCTGGTTTGTATAGTGGTGATTAGTTCTGTTTCTTTACCAACCCTCTCCAGTACTTCTTTATTTGTGATTCTATCAGTCCATGATATTTTCTATACTCTGCGGTATAACCAGAGTTCGAAGGCCTCGATTCTTTTTAAATTACATTTTTTTAATGTCCAAGTCTCAGCTCCATATAATAATATTGAAAATATATAACAGCGAATGGTACGTAGTCTGATCTCCAAATTTAGATTTTTGCACGTTAGGAGTGGCTTCATTCGTATAAATGCTGATCTGGCAATCTCTATTCGTCTGTTTATTTCTACAGTATGATCATTGATTTCACTGATCAAAGTTACCAAATACTGATATTATTCTACTTGTTCTATCGCCTATTACGGCTTTAGGTTTAGTTATATCCCAACGACTCGCGCACATGCTAGACTCCTTGGTCCGTGTTTCAAGATGAGTCCTGAAAGTAACCAAATCTAGAGCGTCGCTGATCGGCGTTGCATACGCGTTCTGTTCGAGAACACTAACCAACAATCGTTTTGGGAATGAATCAGTACCAGGTGCGATCACCGTCAAACAAAGAACGTGCTTCCTGCGGGCCTAACGCTAATGAAAGTAGCGGCCTAGCGCCATTAGTATACCGTCAAGTAAGTCTGTCGGACTCCACCTCGAGTCTTAGATAGACACCCGACGGATCGCGATGTACTACACAAGGATCTACAGACCGAGAATTTGGCATCCAAATTCCACGGCTTCGCCCAATCGTACTTGTAAGTTCGTATAGTCGGCTGGAGTTACAATTTGCCAAATTTAAATGTAATCGTTTCTACTCATTCATATTAATATTAATGTATAATATATTAAAGTTTTTAATATTGGTAATATTATTAAAGCTTTTAATACTATTTTTTAATATTAATAATAATATTAAGTAATTACATATTGCGCCTTACTTAAAAAAAGTACGAGATAAATATAACTCGTTTTTTGTATCTTTACGTATGCTAAGGGTAATAAATTAAAATCCTTCAATACAAGACTAAAGGTAGGTACCTATAATTTGAATAAGCTGGTTTTGCCCATACTGACTTTCTAATTCTAATTACCTACTAATTTGCATAACAGTCAGATATTGTACCTGGTCATAATATCAGAATTTTTATTTCGCTTGTTGAAACTTCACCCGATATTAATTTCTTGGAAATTTTTATAAGGCTGAGAGTACTTAATCGGAATACTCGAGTATTGTTAAAAAAAAAAAAACTGAAATTGAAGGTACTACACAATCGAAGAACTCAAAAAATTAAACATTTCCGGTATTCTTTTTCCAGATCGTATTTTGTTTTCGAGATATATTTAAATTTGGGAATTTTTTATTATTTTTCCACTTTTTTCAGGTTCTTTTTTAATTTAATTTCGGTATATAAAAGCCTTTACAATATTATCCAAATTTTATTAGGAAGTTTTAATCTTAAGTGTTCAGAAACAATTTGCTATTTAGGAAATGAAAATTGGTTTTTTTTCTTTAGTTCTTAATTTGCTATAACATTTCTCATTTGATTTAATAAAAAATATTGTAAATTCATTTTTTTGAATAATTATAACAATGACTTACATCCGAGTAGCTTAACACAATTAAAGAAAATATAACGAATACGCTCACGACTCGGAACTGAGTCTTTTCTTCTTTTCGCATAAAATATTACAAATTTATTTAAAATACCCTTTATTTAATATATACTTTATTTATTCATCACAATTTAAAAAAAAAATACTAGTCAGCACAGCGGTTGATTTCCATGAAAATACGCTAAGCAGTGATAATGATTGCATGTACCTAAGTTAATATTTTTGTCTTTTGGTTGGTCTTATATTGGAAATTTCCCCTCTCAAGGCATTTGCAAGAAAATTGCACTTTCATGTAAAAACGAGTTATTTATCTCGTACTTTTTTTAAGCAAGGCGCAATATTTAATTACTTAATATTAATATTAATATTAAAAAATAGTATTAAAAGATTTAATAATATTACCAATATTAATACATTAACTTTAATATATTATACATTATAATATTAATATGAATGAGTAGAAATTCTCGGTCTGTAGATCCTTGTATGTACTACTAGAGGAAAAGTGCATGCGTTCGACATCGACACGAAGAATATAAAAAGCGGACGACGCCGAAGCGCTATCGGTCATACAAACATCCAACTTCGACAGTCGAAACGCGAATAAATTTCCTCTTTCGACCTTTCAGGATTCTCAGGTTTACCTCTGAACAGTTTCACTTACTTTCTCTTCAAAGTGCTTTTCTCATTTTCCACACGGTACTTGTTCGCTATCAGTCTCGTGGTCATATTTAGCGTAGTGATCAAGAACATGATCATTGTTATCAACCATAGCTTTGTATAATAAATATCGCTTTGGTAACTTTTTGTTAAAAACGAACACAATTTCAAATTTTTAAGAAATCTCTTTATAGTATCACGGGTAGGCTGTGGTCGATCTGGATATTTTTTAGCACAAATACAGCACATGTTTCAGTAATTACTCTGTCACATTTTCCCTATATTAAAAGTAAATTAAGGCGTTTTTCATTATTTTATTCTAAACGAGTTATGTCACTTTTCAAACGTACCAATAACCAAAAAAAATGACAATTATAAGATATTAGTACTTCTTCTTCTTCTTGCGCCGTCTTCTAACGAAGGTTAGCGATCACTTCTTTAAACGCTTCTCGATCTTTTCCAACGTGAAATATCTGTTCAACACTAAGGTTAGTCCAATCTTTAATATTCCTTAGCCAAGGTTTCTTTTTTCTTCCCAAGCCTTTTCTTCCCTCT